ACTGTTTGCTCATCAGTGACCGGGAGAGTAGAACCATTTCCAAATAACTAGTTTTTATTTAACATTTCTTTACTTTTACATTGCTACACCTTTCTTCAGCTGCAATACTGCTGAGCTGTTCACATGCATTACACAGTGCTTCCCTTCCCCTGTTACTGCAGAATCAACTACAGTAAGAATTTCACTTACAGCCTAGGAATTGATGAGCGATTCTACCCTGAAACCGTTCACAGTATGGCAAAAAGACGCTTCTGGTACAGGCAAATAGCTACCACTGCCCCAAATCTGTCTTGCATGCACTGGACACAAGTGGATTCTATACAGTATCTGCTGCAGATATATCAATTTTAGTGTAAACAGCCCTTACCCTAGAACAACTCTAGGACTGATCTCCACCGTGGTAACTGGCTGCAGGACAGAATGGTGTGAACAAGTAGCTGTCAGCTCAACAGTCCCTCAGTACATCCCACTGTACAGTCACCAAGGGGAGTATTGTCTAGATCACCCTCTTCACCAGCAAAAGGACAAAAGGTAAAAAGGATATACTACTACTTGTGCACAACACAGCTCATGGACTTTATTACCAAAAGATATCATTAAATTTAAACTACTTATGAAAACTCAGAAAATCACCGAAGTCGACAGGAAAACACAGCGTACAGAAGAAGTTAGGTAGTTTGTTTTAAAAAGAAAAAAAGTAATTTTAGATCAGAAAGCTAAAATACAAAAACAATAATGAAGTCCCTGAGAGATGCTTAGCATGTGCCCACTTGCCCTACAGTGCTTATATGGTTTTGATCATCAGCATTATCCAAGTGAAGCCTCATGAAGAACTCAAACCGTTCCAGGTAACAGTAAAATCTCCTTCCAGCAAGCTGTGTGTTCACTATTTATGTACAGTTTGACCTATGGGAAGGGTGGGAAATGCAAGCAATGATGATCATTCCTTTAGAGGTAGATGAAACCTGGCAGCCATTTGTTTAAAAGGCTTCATAGATGGGAAAAGTAAGTACTCTAATGTACTGAATTCAGATGGTAAAGGCAGACAGTGCTCAGAGGCTTTTGCTGTCTTCTGACAATGCAGTACAAACTTTCCAGGTGATTTAGATGATCGAAGTTCAACATACCACCCTTCCTGCTAACCATTCTGCCAAGTTATTTATTCCTTCCCTGTGAAAACTGTCAGCGTTATTCTCTACCAAGGTAAAATATATTGTTCAGATGGCATGGATGAGCTGGAACATACTCCCAAGAAAGCAACACATTAATGAAAAATGTTCTAAATAGCAGATACCTGTTATTTTAAAAAAGCTGAAAATGAGAGAATTTCATTACAGAATTTGCTTCCTTAAAGTCACTGGACTTAGAGAGCAAAGCATGATGCTCCACTCATCCCATTTCCTCACATTTAGAAATAAGCTGATTAAACGTACTCACGAAAGATGATGCCAAATTTGTCAGAAGCTTAGTCTCCTAGCAACAGGTATGGTACAGTATTAGTAACAGATTAATGACATGAACAAATAGATTAATGGCTTGAAGCTATGTCCTACCTTAAAATCTGTATTTTCAGTAGTACCTCAACTGCACATGCAGAACTACAGAGGTTTCACAGTTCAGAAATTAAATGCTCTAGCTTTCTATAAAACAATGTTCAAGAGCAAACAAACTGTGCAGCAAGCAGAAGCACAAAGTCCCTCAGGCACCCAAAGATGTGGCAGTTGGACTTGATGATCTTTGTAGGTCCCTACCAAATGAAATATTCTATTCACGCACATCCTTGGTTGTCCCTGACGCTGGTTAACATACGGTTATTTCACACAGAAGCAGCTGAGTACTTACTGCACTGTCACACACATGGCAGTGACTGGCGTAAAGCTAGGAGCACCAAAATAACAAGTTCAGTCAGAAGCAAAGAGTAACACACATCATGAACTGGATTTGCATAATAAGCTTCCAGAAGTGCTGGAAAATATTTCAATTTGTATTTAAACAACGGAATTTTCATCTGCTCACAGCTAGTTGGTATTTACCTTGCACTAAACTTGGCCCTTAGCATACTGTTTTTCCCCAGCAGTGAGTAAAAAAGTTAATACAAATCGATATTTTGTTTCATAACAGCTTCCTCTCTGCCACCAAGCACAACAATTAATTTCTAATCCAGCTGGAAGAGACCAAATTGCAAAACAGAATATTGATTTGCATTTGTATTCATTTTCGTTTAGAGGTATAGTACAATCCATGTGGTTGAGCAGGAGACTGTCAGCCGCATAAACACTATCCCCATATTTAAGCAGCATTCTTGTCATAGCAAGGTATTTCACAATTCTAATGCAAATAAATAGCTTTGAAAATCACTGGTGTAGATCACAGAGTACAGATCTGTATTCTCAAACTTGCATCTAGTACTGAGGCTTAGAAGCATCTAGTTCTGTAAGCAACAGAAAGCCTAAAGATTCGTCAAATCTTATAAACACGAGCCAAGCAAGTTCCTTTAATGCAAATATTAGGGCAAGACATGCACCCAGGGGCGGGAGGAATTGAATGCAGTTCACAAAAGCTTGAAGAGATGCTGTGTCAGCTAAAATCTCTCAAGTTTCTGTCCTCATTAATGATGTGTTCAATTCCAGCGCCAGCACCTTGGCATGTGGCAGTTGCCTGCTTGTTCTCCACCCACTGAAGCAACACAACGCTCTGCACGAAGAAATGTGCCCGGCCAGCTTTCAGATTCCAGCCCAGCGCAGGCACCCTCAGTTTTCTCTAGTTTGCAGCAGAGACTTCCCCGATCAGCACGTCACCCTCGTCGCTACCCTGCTAAGAAACCCACTAAGTCTGACAGCAGGGGAGAGTTGGGGCTGGTTAGGCCATGGTATTGTGATGAGAAGGGAAACATTGAGCAACTTTGTAGGGAACATGAAAGTTGGATGAAGAGCGCAGACTAAGAATGGAAATGGGAGGATAAGGGAAGACATGCACAAAAGATGACAGGATGCAGATAACCAGCCCTTTTTTGGAGGGAGAGAAGGGAAAGATCTTAACAGGAGGAATGAGAAAGTTCAAGGTAAGCCATCAGAGAAGAAACAGAGTTTGATAAATGGCCCAAAGGAATCAGGTTGAGAGAAGAAATTCATCAGATGAAGAGCTTGGAGGGGTGGGAGAGCTTGGACAAGGAGAAAGGAGCATATAGCACGAGGCATTTACATTCTGCTGGTACATCTTCATTTAGGCGGGTGTACCATTAGAGCTGTTTCAAACACAATGTAATAACAAAGCATGACAGAATTTGCTTGCCATGGAGGAGGAATAAACTGGAGGAGAAAAGCGGTAACATGTTTATACTACAGTATGAATCAGAGAAAGAGTGGGGACTGGTTACACAAATCCTATTAGCACTTTGAATCTGGTCTCAAATAGTAATGAGTTCCTTCCAACCACTGGAATAGGATAGATATATTAAATACATTTTTAATGTATAGACTGCTTAGTGAAAGTCTAAGGACTGAAACCCTGCCCTTTTCTTGGTAAAGCAATAGCCTGGATTTGGGGGAAAAGACAAACCCTGCCTTAATAATCTTAATGTAATCAGATTTTTTTCTCCCCCTATTTGTCTTAAAGATTTTAACTGTTGTCTGATTTGACTTAAAAAATCAGCAGTTAAATTTTATCTTAACCTGGCTTGGGATTAAGGGAAAGACCATTAAGCAAGATTGAGGTGAATAAGTAGAGACATTGTTTTCACCCAAGAACGTAGCAAACACAAATCAAGGCATCTTAGAAGTACCACAGTTCCTCAGTACAATCCTCCCCATGTCCAGGGAACGAGAGGGTGGGTTCCCTTTCCAGCTGCATGAGCCAGCTGGCACCGTGGATGTTGAAGGAGACATCAGTGACTACCCCTGACTAATCCAGAAGTCCTCCCAGCATAGAGCGAGATACCTGTGTACACACCTGTACCCCAGGGGTCAGAGAGGAGCACATCCTGGCTTGTGCACAGTTACACCCACAGTACCAAACCCACACAACCTTGCCCTTCCAACAGAATGCCCTTCCTTTGAAAGCCAAGCCTCATGTACTGGGACCTTACCTCTAATTCTGAGCTCAGCAATAACTGAATGGTGTTTGCGAAGTATTTAAGTAATACGCTGGAGATGCCAACGGCATTTGGAATATTTGGCATTAGGTGAAGAACCCAGCCAGAGCAAATGTTAATGGCAGGTACCAATCACCAGAACAGTCAGTGTATCACCACCCTCTGTTAGCCAGATGAGGACACTGCCTGCACTTCTGCATCTTCTTGTAACTGATCAAAACTGTTCTAAGACAATAAAACTTGCGTGATTCTGTTAAGACAGTGGAAATGCTGGTAAAAAAAAGAAAGCAAGAAACAAGTCTTATGTGCCCTTACAGATAATCAGTCCCAACCTAATGAAACTAGGTGATGCCTTACTTTTTAAGGAGATAGGTACCTCTGAACTGTAATACCCTTTGCTTCATGCTGAAGAGTCAAGTTTAATTTATTCCATGCATTTAAGTGAAAGTTAACTGATTTTATGGGCACCGTAACACAGAAATTACCCAATAAAAACACAAGAGGCATTTATAGTGTTCAGAAGCTGTCTCAACACCAAGAGAAAGATGATTTCTGATTCAAATGAGGCGGTATCCTATTTCAATATAGCTCCAACTCATCTATTGTTGTGACTTTTCTTACCTGTCCCCAAGCATACTCCTGCCTCCGTGAAGTTCACATTGAATATGTGAAGTAATACACTATTGCACCGTGGACAAGCATAAAACTGCATACAGCATAAAATTGTGAGGTGCACTGTAACTGTAAACATCTAAAACTAACTTCTGTATTGATCAAGTTACACTTAAGGGAGAAAATCTGACCCAGGAAGGACTGTAAGATTCACACGAGGTAACAATTCACAGCATTGTAAATACCAGTAATTGCAGTTAAAAATTTATCTTCTATCCAAGAAAGCCAAACTGCCTACCTTCACTACAGGGTGTCCTCCAGTAGATGCTTTTACTGCTCCTCTGCTTCCTTCTGTTTCATAGTGAGCTCTGTGATGAGTTTTAGGCTGGACTTCTATTTTCAGTTCACACTGCCCATAATGACTTGGTAAAGGCCAGTCCAGAGGCGGCAATGAAGATGTGCTGCAATCAAGATGAGCACACTAGGGTTAAATGAACCATGGCATTTGGCCATAGTACAAGCACAGTAAAATACATACAGTGACGTCACTTTCCTAACAAACAATGACCAAATAAGAATAGCTATTAGCCTAAAACTGTTACGTGAAAATTCCAAAATGTTGCTGGTGCATTAAAATCTTCAATTAATTATTTCTTCTGGGGCTGAGTGGAATTCCTTCCTTCCAATACCTGATCAAAAAAAAGGCACTGTACAACCCCCTGCCCCATATGACCAGTGCTGTTCTCTAATGCCTTCATGTTCATTTTTTATCCTCAAGTACATCAGCAAGCAAGTTCAAATGATATTTAGAGAGAACAGTCAACATTCAATCTGTAAGTCGTTACGTATTAACGCTCTGCATTATCATCTTCCAGCTTGTTGTTTTCCTAGGATTGGTAAGCACTGCACTTGGGTAACCACCACTAAAATGAACACTATATTGTGATCCAAAATTTTACAGCTAGTAGTCCTAAGCATAAAGACCTACTGCAACAGATGACAAAGACACCTAAACTACTTGCTTAATTTATCTACAGGTTATATATACCCTTACACTCGGTAGCAAAATCACTCCAGGGAAGAACAACAAAATGCAGAAACAGAAGTGATGTGGAAGAACCTCACAGGGAAATAAGCCACATGGTAACACCAACGTTGTCATACCTACCCTTTTACCTGCACAGATTCATAGACTTATGATTCTAGTAAGAGGAACAGTCAGATTCAAGTCAGTAATTACCTGATAGAGCAAATTAATTTATGAACATTTAAAGGTGAACATTTATAGCATTGTGTACCAAATAAGAACATTTACAATGAAAATAAGCTTCTATTAAAATGGTTTTGTACTGCCTTACTCTGACCAATAGGGAAAGCAACTTAGGTTTTAAAGGAGACGGACAAATATTGGTTTGTATCATCATCTGAGAAAGCTCAATTCCATTTCTTTCTGCTTTACAGGAAGTCAGGAAAAACCCCACCACCAATCCAAAGACATGAAAATTTCCACAAACACTAATAGCCACAGGTCCAAGAAAGATCAATTATACCTTCTGGAGAATTTAGCAAAAACCTGTCAAACATATCCACAGTTGAGAAGGAAGGCAACATTCTGACAACAAAAAAGAAAAGAAAGCTCTGTCTTCAGCAAGTATCTGGAGGGACTTGGGCTCTGCCTGCACCATACATCCACCTTTTACTACAAAAATCATTGTCACTAAGCATGGCAAAGAGGGAGAAGAAATGGCACCACTTGCTGGCCTCCTTTTCCAGGAGAACACCCTCTGAGCCTGCAGACCTGCTGCTTCATGGAGTACCTCTCCGGTGCACTTCAGGAAAGAGCCAACATTGTAGCAGAAGCCTTATCTCCTGAAGCACCTTTCTGAGAGCAATGGGAGGAACAAGAGCATTTCCCTTTCTACTTACTGGAAGGAAGGAATGTGAGCACTAAACCATCTCCACAAGCGTTCGGTGTACAGCAAAGACACTTCTTCCCCCAGTAAGGAGGGCTGATGACTGGTCCTTCAACCCAGTAAATACTGTTGCTGTGGGAGAGGACTGGTGATGTCAGCAGAAAAAGTGCAAACTGACAGTTTGCAGTGTAAGCCCAGTCCTTCCAGATATTTACCACAGACCAAGACATACTGCCTTCATGCTACTGTTGACTATCAACTAGACCTTGCCCTTCACTTCTATAGCTACTGAAGAAGAGGACTCAAGTCTTCAGTCTGAAAAAGGAAAGAAAATGTCAGGATTAGAAGATACTAAAAAGAGTTTAAAAAGAAACGTAGAACATGAGAAACCTTATTATTTCTGGAAACCTTTATGCCCCATATAACCAAACGTTCCATGTCAAAATAGTTGGTATACACAGCACATAGATATGGTCCCTGAGAGAACTTGGTATAACATGCACACCACAGGCTATACACCAATTACTGGGAGGTATAACGAAGTTTAATAATAAAACACAGTCAAGGAAAAAAGTGTTTGTTGCTTGTTACCATATAGAGCACTCCTTCTGCAATTAACTAATAAAAACGTGGCACAAGCTGTATCAGACTCCAATTATCTCCTGCAAAAATATTTGTGATACTAGAACAAACACAGCAACAGGAAAATAACCAAGTCTCGAGATTTTGTCATTCTTTGAAAACAAATAGGAAATATCAGCATGAGAGAGCAAGCAAGCACACAACACACGTGCAGACACCTAAAACATCACAAAACTGGAAAGCTTTCAAAACAGTTTTCCAAATAAATTACAGAGCCTTTGGGCCATGCCACATCATACTCACGTCTTCTAGGTGTAGCATGCTAGAGTTACAGCTGCTTCCCTTTGGGGTTTGATGTTGGACACCCAGACTACTGTTCCTCGCTGAGTATTTCCTTGCTGTCTCCATCACCCTCAACTTCTCTGCATCAGTGGAATCTTAACCAGTCCTAGGGTACACTGTCATGCAGCTTTCTGCCCTCTGTGATGATTTAGCAGTTTAATGTATTGCTGCTACCACATCACCCTTTCACTTTTGAGACAAATGCTGTCGAGCTACACATTAAAAAAATTGACATTTCAAAATGAAACAAAGTTAGATCACTGATCCAATTTAATCCTGTTAATTTATCAGAGCCCCAGTTGTCTACACAGCTTCTTCAAACAGAACTAGCGAGAGAGAGGCAGAGTGGAACCTTCCTAGCCAGCACTGTCACCTTCTGAAAGACACATGAACCCACAAGCATGGACACCAAATAGGAGTTTAAAAATACCAGAATACAGTCTACAAACTCTTAGGTTGGTTTTTGTGGTAGTTTGGGGTTTTCTTTTTACACTTTGTAGAAATCCATATAAACCTAGAAGAATCACGTCAGTGTTTGAGGAGCAAAAGATAACCAATTTGCATATATTTGCAACATGAAGCAATGCTGTCTTTGTACCAAATGCTGCATATGGCAAAATAAGCCTGAATCTGCCAGCTTTACTGCACTTAAGGATCTGTGCTCAAGAAAATATTGTTCAGTCTACACCATTAGGTGAGGATTAGCAGCAGCACTGCTAGACTTTTAACTCACCACACATTTTATCAGGTGCAAACTGTTGGTCTCTGATAGTTTGGAACTTACATAAGTTCAAAATTCAGTGCTGCATGACTCTTAAAATACCTGGAACATGCTGAAAAGTAAGAAGCTCAGCCACTTCAGAAATGAACAAAAGATACAAATACAAAAATATTTACACACAGCACAATCGCGTTTGCATTACTGATAAAGCCACTTAACTCTGTATTCAGAACCCAGAATCCAGAGCAGCTGCTGACTGAAGGGTCTTTGCAAGTCATTTTAGATCAACAGATCAAAAGAAATAAGAACCTTTGTTATTTAAAACCCCTCACTTTTCAGACTTGATGGGGGAGGAACACATTTGTAGACAATTCCACATTTCATACGAGATTTTACCTGCTTCACTGCCAAAGTGCTGTTAAAATAGCTCGTGACTAAAGCAAGTCAAGCAAAAGCCTTATTAACAATCCAGCAACCTACTAGTAAAGCACAAATCACATGTCAGGAAACAGAAATAATGAGTGACAGTTACTCTAGAACTTTCATCAAATCAATCTTAACATGTTGTTGAAACAGCAGCAATCTGTAAACCTACAAATGTTCTTCAGTAACACCAAGAGTTTTATAATCTGATTAATGCAAGCCTCTGAAAGCTCATACTCCTATCACATCAAGATTAAAGGTTTCACAGAACAGCATCTGTTAAAGGAAACTCAGAGGTAAGGAAGGAACTCTTCAGTAGCACCTTCAGCAGAAGCCAGTGCATTTCAATCACTTCGGTGAGAATGTAATATTGATAAAATTAACAGCTACCTTCTTTCTCTGCAACAGTTATGTCTAAACCACTGATTTAGGCTGCACAAATTGGTAAGGAAACACCTAGTGTTCAAGCCTAAAGACAACCCAATGTGTCCACATGGACTTCAGTATTCAGACCTAAAGACTGGGTACCCAGATCATGGCCCGACTATGCCTCTCCTGCACAGGAAGAAACAAGCCCCCGAAACCAGACTGCTTTTCTGCATTATCTGTGGCCCCACAGCAGTACGTGTGGGACAGAAGGAAGAGCAAAGCCTGTGAGAGCCACTAAAAATAATCCAGTTGAAAACTTAAACCCGTTACCTTCCATTTGTAGCATTCTTCCTGGGTAACTCAGGGGACGAAAAGCTGGGGCTGTGCAGCCAGGCTAACGCTGGCACCTCTCCTGAGGCACAGGTGCGGCTGGCTCAGCTTCCGTCTAATGCTCTCTGGGGCTCCGCACTTGGCAAGTTTTTGAACACAGGTGGCACTGATACAAGAACTCAGTATGACCCTGCCTCTTCATAGTCAGGAATTCTAGTACAAAACCTTTTGAAGATACCCACTAGGATCTCAAGATGCTTATGAAAGTTCTTATTCCCTTGCTTGGTTAAGATTCACAGATGTCCTGGAGTGATTCTTTTATTATGTCTTAGTTGCAGCAAAAGGAAGATTTTTTCCACTCACAGCTCCTTCAAACACATCACTGTGGGAAAAACTTCACTGACCATACAACGAATATTCCACATCTTTGCCTCATCCCAAGTTTTTGCAGAGATTAACCGGTGACAAGTCAGTGTTGCAACACAGCAAACCCCAGAGAATCTCAAATCATAGCCGTGATCCAATACTATCGTCCTTTTCAAGAAGGCTTGCAAACAGAGTCAAAACACTGCTGTGGTTGCTCCCCACCACCTAGAGCAAAGCAACACTTTTCCAGGTGGAGTCATTTGGAGTTCTGAAATTTGGCACCATTCCAGTTGCTACAGTGACTTTTCAGACTTTTCAATACTGTTTACACTTAAAATATCAGTGTTCTACAACTAGCAGACCCACAGTTCACTATGCTTTCAGAGTATTGATACAGTACACTGCCAAGTAAAAC